AAAGGAAAAAGGAATACAGAAAGTTGAAGATACAACTAGTTGATCAATTAATATGAAAAATTTAAATAACAACAAAGTTGCAAAAAAGGTTCTCTACTGCAAATTAACCAAAAGGTAGAGAGAATTCCTAGAAACATTCTATGTTTGAGATGCATAAGAGCAGAACTTCCTTCAAAGGGAATGCATAAGTTCCCAAGGTGTGGTTCATCAGCATGCTGTTATGCTCTTTTTGTTGAAACATGAAAGCTTCATTGAATGTTGCCTATATTCATGTAAAGCTTTCGTTCTGAAAAGTAGATACCTTGTGCCGCATCCCTTGAATTTTACTATTGATATAAGTTACTTATCTTATTACCACATACTCTAACATGATCTAGAAAATAGTTTTGCTGAGTGAACACGGAAATATTGTTACAGAAAACAATTTACAACACATCAAACACATCTCAATAGTATACTGTAGGGTTTGGGACATCGGGAAGGTGCTTTGTGATAATATTGAGTATTAAAGGAGGAAACAGTTATATGTTGGTTGAAGCAAGTGGAAATAAGAGTTAATAATTGCAAAGAAGAATGACTCACGCACATCAATGTAAGTCAATTTTCCCCATCTGGTGTATAAATATTATCAGCATCCGAACAGTAAAAGATGTTACCAAGAAAACATTTTTTGTAAAAATACTTTAAACCGTGCCAAACAACTCGTAATTCTGATAACATTAAAACTTCATACACCATATGCCTCAAGCAAGTATGCAGCTTGAGCTGAAACAACTAATCACATTTAGTAATCCAATATTTCACACTCATTGAAGTGTATTAGTTTAGTTCAGATGCGAACATAAACAAATTGAGAACATACTTCATATTGGGGAAATGCACAATGGTTTATAACATTGTTCTGAAGTGCAATTAGCAGAATTACAAAATAAGAATATTGCTTGAGAATCATCATTAACAATCATAACAGATAGTATAGGCAGCATATAAAGGATAAGAAGACAACATTTAACTCGAGCAAAATGATAAAAGAGGAGAAGAACTTACATGTAAGGCCCTGCAAAAACAATTACAGCATCTTAATTCATTGGCATCAACTCTAATAAGCACATATACAAATATTGAAGCATATACGTGTCTGATTGTTGAGTACCTGGGAGACCCTTAAGGGCGTTGAAACAGAGACAAGTATCCTCAACTAGCACTGGTCCATTCACCTAACCAATTTTTATAATTCGATTAGTTTCCCAAACATACTCAACCAATAAATTTAAAAGCTCTCTCATAGATAATGCAATGAAAATTAGAAGAGGATAATTATAAAGTGACAAGAAGTGTTATATCCCAATCTGTGGTGGCTCATTTAATTAGAACCAAATGGGTCAGTCTTTCACTTGTCTCATATTAACATATCAAGACATTGCAAATGTTTGGGTCAAAATGAATGTGAAATACCATAAGAGTTCAATAATACAATAGTACCTTGGTCTAAAGCAAACGCAGGAAGAATATGATGACAAAGTGACTCAGAATTTGACCCACGGAAACCAGCATTTATTGAATAACCTTTAGAGTGGACTACTAATAGCAATGTTCTTTAAAAGTGAAAAGCACAAAAAAGCTACAAGGTCCAAGAGGCTTGTAGCAAAAAGCGAGCGAAGCACACAATTTATGAAAAATCAATAGGTACCAATCACATATGAATTTTAGTACTGTAATAAGCAAAATTTTAATGAAAATAATCAAACTGTAATTAAAATAAGTCATTTCAGCATCCAATACACTATGATGCCGACATTAGTCCAACTCCTCAAAGTTGAGATTCGAAGAATGGTCTGCTTCATTATTTGTTGAAGCATACATTTCTCTGAAGCGCATGGACAGCTTTTAACATGACTATTAGTGATAGGTTAAAAGGATTGTTGGAATAGATATGCTAGAGGATTAACATTATATGCAAGATAAGCACTTGAAGTACTAAACTGGATGAGTGTTACATTGGTAAACTCCGATTCAACTAGAGTCTAATAAAGGGGGAATTGGCCCCTACATATACATACAAAGATAGTAAAAACACACGCAAGTTTGTATATATGCAATAAGGATTTAAGTTATATGTACTGATAGTGCAATAAATTTTGTACACTGTCATTGTAATTTAACTTATTATAACATGTTACTTTCCATTTATTAAAGATTATCATTCAATGTTATTTAATAGAGTTACCTGCAATTGCATTTTAATTGACATGATGTTCAAATATCTTTACATTGTCACTGCACAGAAGTTAAACAAATGCAATAAAGGGAGGGTGCATTACCTCTTTGGCAGCAATTCTTGCCTTTTCTTTGGAGATATCTTCAGGCTCACCTTGAAGCTCTGGCACTAAGATAAAATTTTGACATAAAGGAGTTCATTTTTTTAAACAAAAGATTGAAATTAAACACAAGTTACTATATAATAAAAAATTAGTGTGGACTCACAGTCAAGCTTAAGGGACTGAAAGGGAATAGACTGGCCAAGAATTGCCCTAACTTCCTCCAACTTCTTAGCGTTTCCGGTAACAAATGTCACCGGCCGCGGCAACACCACCCCTGATCCCACTGTCCTCGCCGCCGCCGCCATTGTCCTTTTATCACCGGAAAATTTGCACGTTCACGGAGTAGATTTATTGCCTTTGGGTTTTAGGAGTGAAAGCTTAAAGTGCGCAACTCAATTAAAAATAATAAGTACTCTTTTTTTTTGCATAATTAAAGTAGCGGAAAAAGTCTTATATTTGATCTTTATACTCTGTTTAACCCAAAAACTAATTTTAATTCCATTCTTCTATTCTCTTTTGCTTATTACTCCCGCTCCAAAATAAGTGATTTTTGGCTATTTTCACACAAATTAAAAAATTTACATTTTAACATTAATTAGCAATGAAATTGACAATATTAACCTTTACTATCTCTTCACATAAACACTCCTAACACATACTCCAACACTATTTACTCCAAAGGCAATGTAGGAAAAAATATTTAATTTATTCTTGAAATCTGGAAAAATCACTTATTTTGGATCACAAAAAGGGCCAAAAAATCACTTATTTTGGACCGGAGGGAGTACTAGTTTTAGATTACGCGTGCACCCAACTCAATTAGTATAAACTTTTTAAAAATCATATAAATATTATATTAAAAATTTATATTTGAGTTATAAAATATATAATCTAATAAAGTGAAGAGTGTTGAATTAATTAATGAATAGCAATTTAATAAATTTGACTCTTAATATTATATTATAACTGATCTCTTATTTTTTAAATTTTTTACGCCGCTGATTCTCTTCTCAAGGGCACAAGTTATGTACCCTATTATGTCAATTTAAAAAATAATTTTTGATGAATTATTAAAAGAATCGAATTAGATTATTTTGCTAATTAATTAATTCAAAGACTTAATTATTTGTCACACAGTAAAATACTTTACTCTCTTGTTGATTTGAATTGTTAATGCTAGCTCATGCCAGATTTCAAATATTCAGTAATTATTGTTTTTCCAATCATATTCTAATTTTAATTGGTAAATCAATGATCACTATTTTACTTTTGAATTTGTGTGTTAAAGAATAGTTAGTGTTATTAACATTTCTCAACCACTACTCTCTCTCTATTTTCTTAGTTATTTGTTCGATTTATTGAGCGTTGTTTTCAAATACTATAATACAAAAATCGATAAAGATCATTTTAAAATTCACAAATTCTCAATCTATTTCTTTTACCTACGTGGAGTCTCTTATTAGTTGAACTGGTAGTGTATTAAGGTCGTACAAAGTCTACTAAAACTACTCACTCAACCCATCAGCCTGTTAGAAAAGTAGAAGAAATTTTTAACATTATCAGTTTGCATAAAAATGCATCTTAATTACTAAGTATAAAATAAGAGAATCCAGATAAGTAATTTTCACCAAATAATGTTTTATAACCAAGCAAGCCTCAAAGGGAAGATGACTTACTTTTTTTCCGGCTAATTTTTCATAAAGAAATAAAACTATACAAAAATAAGTGATAAAATTTAGGACTACTTTTTCTTTTTTTATATAAAATGAACTCGTTCAAGCATCACTAAACGTAACGTGGTGTTGAAACACTGAATCTTCATAAATTTTAGATAAATTAATATTTAAAGTTTTGAAATTAATTGTGAATTTTTAAGTTTTCAAGAACTTAACCTTATATAATCGAAATTTTATTTATTATAGAAAGAAATTTGTTAGCTGGTAAAAGAAAGTTACAAAGAAAGAAATTTTGATATATAAACTAATGATGTATAACATATTTAAAATGTCATTAGTATCTTATAATTCACGATAAGATATTTCTGTTGAGGATTTTAAGATGGAAAAGTTTTAAAAAGAGGGTGAATGGGAAATGAAGGGAAAATAAAATTTTTGAGTAAAATTTTAAGTTTCCCTCTCTTGAAACATTGCCCCATATTGGAAGAGGAAAAAGATTTTGGTGGGTATATATACAATTGCTATTCTTGTAGCTCTTAAAGAGTTAAGAAGAAGGCAAGCCTAGCGCCGCCGTAGTCGCCATTCGCTCGGCTCGGCTACGGCTTCGGCTTCGGCTTCGGCTGCAGCTTTGGCTTTGGTCAAATGATTAATTGATTAATTTTTTGGACCAAATTTATTTGTTAATAGTAAATATTATTGTAATATTATCCGTGTTTGTAACGGATATGTTCCAATCCGTAGATTTGTTCCAGCAGGCTAATGCGTCTCCCACCATTGCCAAATGCTTGCTCCATAATAGCAAG